CATAAAGCACAATATTTCTAAGTTAAAGATAACATCTACCCCAAATGTTGTAAAGACAAGTTAATCACCACATTTAGCTCCAAATATAATAAATGGAAAATAAAGAAATAAAAATGACTCAAGGTTGGGATAAAAGAGAATAATCTACCTATTAAGCAAAGAAATGAGTACTTTAAGCATGTTAAAATCCATGCTTATCACCTGTTAGAAGGAAACAACTGAGTGAAAAAGTGTGAGACCCCAAAATGTGGAGAACAAGCTTTTTCACCACAATTGCAACTGTCAGTGCCATCTTAAACAATAAGAAATGGGATGCTCTGGTCATCGGAGGTAATAACACATCAAGGGTAATAACGCAAATACAATTTTGAAGAATATCTGCAAAGATGGAACTGCAAGAACGATCAATAGTGAATCGAGATCAGAAATCAAGAGTTAGTGTGTATCCCAAACAATCACCAAATCAAATAATTATGAAGAACAATATGAACAATTAGAGAGAGAATTTTAACCCAAATGCTTTGTATTGAAATCTTGCAATGATTACACTAATGACAAGCTTAACACTAATTACAAGACTAATTACTCTATTTATACTAGGAAGCAATAAATACAAAATTAGGAGAAACAAGCTTGAATACAACAATTAAAGCACAGCTGTGAACCCATCATTCTCCTCCTTTGGATTCAAGCACGAGAAATAGTAAATCTTGATCTTCGAAAGCCCAGGTTAGTCTCAATTCTTCTCAATGCATTTTCATCCAAAAGATCTAAAGCGCTGATCAGCAGAAACCTTTTTCTAGGACTCATTCTTTCAGGCTCTGTTGCTTTGTTATTGTCAGCTTTAATCTTCTCAAGAGCTCTTTGCACAACCTTGATTGTTCCATCAGAGTATTTGTTTAGCTCACTGAATCTCATACACCTCTTGGGTCTGTCAGCCTCATCATATATTACACCGAACTCTGGATCTTCAAGGATTAAAAAGAGAGGATAGCCTTCAATGTCATCAATGTCTTGATTAGGTTTCTTCAGATTTACAATCTTCTGATTGCCCTCGAAACCCATTTGAACATTAATAACTAAAGACAATTTGACTTGGCTCTTTAAATATCTCTTTATCGCTTTTAAGCCAATAACTGCACCTTCTTTTCTGACTGTTAGATCACGAATTTCATGATAGAGATGCTCCAAATCTTCAAGGTAGAGGTTTGGAAAATTAGCTTCGCTAAAAGTCCAAATCTGACCATCTTGTCTTGTTACAGTAAATACAGGATACCAAACTCTTACAAGTTTATTGGCATCAATACTTTTAATAGAGACAATACGATGTTTGGTTCGTACTTGACTGATTAGTTGGCGCTTAGCTTTCAAGAAATGCTTGTATTCCATGCGGTATTCACGAGTTTCCTTATGAATCCCAAGAATTCTGTCACTACTTAATGAAAATAGCAAAGTAGATGTCCTCGATATATGGTTCTCTGATTCTTGCTCGATCATATCTTGGAACATTTGCACGAATTGCAAACGACACATAATTTTTAGTAAATATTTTAGTAGAATCAAAAACCGTTCTGGTGGTATCGAAAGCGCCTGGAGATACTGTAGTAGAAGGTTCAGAAGTAACTTGACGTTCAGCCTAGATCTATTGCTACAACTGTCACCTGCAAGGCTGTTTCTTGGCCTGATGTCCGTTCACTAATACCAGTTGGAACCGGACTTTCTTTTGTAACATTTTCAGGCTCTGACTCCCCAGCAACACATTCGACACCCATTGACGACTCAGCCAGCCTTTGTCTTTTCCTCTCCCCCTCATGGTGATCAGGATCATCCTGGTCATCATGTCTTCACTTTAAGATGGTGGCCTAATCTCGGCAATTACTCTTTAAAGTTGATACCCGTTCGGATAGGGCACCGATGGAATTTTGCATATGAGTGAGTGCTTCAGTGTTGGAATCAATTATAGTACTAATCTTGGAGAAATTAGTAGCTACAACGCTCTGGAAAGCTAGAAACTATGAGGCCTTTATTGTTGGATTCTTCTCAACTTGTTGTCTCAAAAGACCAACAAGATTTAGGTCCGCCACATCAGGATTTTGACTTGAAATTAGCTTGGCGTAAAGTAACAATTTCAGCTTATCCACCGTTTGATCTTGCTCCCTAGGAGGTTCAGGAGCAGGCGGTGGTGACGGTGCAGATGTTTGTTCTTCGGGCATTGGCTCTTTGCTCTTCATCAACCTTTTCAAACTAAGAATTTGATCTGTCATAGTATCCTGGACAGCCTTTAGAGCGTCATCCAAATATTCCCTTGACACAAAGCCGGGTAAAGTAATGCCTGGATTACTTAAATTACCAGTTGTCACAACAGTTGAGACATTCGTTGTTCCTACGTTCAGTGTTGGCATAATGTTAGCACTGATCGGACTTCCGACCTATCCTCGTGGAATGTCTAAAGACTCTACTCTGGTCGTTTCGGATAGTTCACAAAGAACTGCAGGTTGAGCAACAGATGTTCTGGACTCAAGTGTACCTATGTGTATCGGCTCTAGACTCGAAGTGCACTAAATCGAAGTCGTAGGCTGGGGCAAAGGCCTGCTTGTTTCAATATCTACATTCTCCAAATGAGAAGCCGATAGATGATGTGCTAAATCCCCGTGTGAAGATGAAACTATTGCTTGTTGAGAAGCAATAGAGTGGATGGGGGGTGTGCATTTGCATAGCTGGGCTAGCTATGTCTGTTTCAATACCAACATTCAACGAATGAACGTCGATAGCAGATGTGGGTGCCCGGCTAAGTGTTTCGGCTAGGATAGGAGCATTTTCCTCATTTTTGAGCTCCACAGTCACCCTCTC